GTATTAGGACACTTTGCATCAACCAGAGATCTGCCTCAGTAAATCTAATTGTGTTTGGCTGCACTTGGAGCTTCTGAAAATCTGGCCGAAGTTGAGCACTGAGGAACGTTTTAGATCAGGTTGTGATTGCCCGTGACATGCTTCAGTCCAATATGTCATCTGCTTTATAGGGGCGCTGCTGACTTAACTCCAGCAGCAGTTCCCCGTCATGGTCACATCCCTGCAGCCAGTTACACCAAGGTCTCCAAGTGGCAGAAGTGCTGCTGGAAGGAGCAGTTTTCTGCTGGCAAAGCTGTGTCAGGGATGGGGCATGATCTCTTCACACAGTTAGCCAGCTTAGCTATGTCAGCACAGCTGTCCTATAGAGAAGGCTTTCTGCAGGTTGATTTACCCAGCACTGTGTAGGACAGGACTGCCCATCTGGTGGCCCATGAGCAGTTAGTATGCTGCCCACAGGCCTGGTCACTGCCTTTTCCACTGCCGCATGGTGGGGGAAGGCTTGGGGGTGCCTGTGTAGCCTGTGCGGTGGGCAGTGAAGAGGCTGCATGCCATTGTTGCAGCCTGTGCAGTGGGAGGACCACATGCTGGGAGGGTTCTCAGGGTGACTGCTTCCCTGTCTCCAGCATGTAGCTCACATAGTGCGTGCCCTGAGGAGTTGCCTTCAGATGCCACATGCAACTCATGTCCAAAGCTGGACAGTTCTGGCATAGGAAGTCTGTGGCAGAGGCAGGGGTTGGGAACTTTCTCCCTGGTTACAGTTAAAACTGCCTTAAAGCATCTGTTTACCCGAAGAGCCTTGTCTGCCTCTGTTTTCTTCCTGCATTTGCCCTCTTGTGTTCCAGCTGCTGCAGCAGATGAGGCCCAGATCCTCTAGACAGCAGATGCTTCCTTCACAGCCATGTTTCTGGGCACAGGATGGGAGTTGCTCTGGGAATGAAGAGATAAGAAATGACTGGCAGAACTAGTGATGGATTGTGGCTGCCGGCAGCCGGGTAGCTTGGCACTCAGCTCATGGCTGGAGATGTCTCATCCTGCAGACTAGTGCCCTCAGCTGCATAGCTTCTGAATCTGTTACCCATCTGGAAAGTGACCCATTTTGGGCAGCATGGTGGACCACAATTAGAAAAGGGTGCTAAGCAGGGAGGAAAAAATCTTCAGGCAATTGCCTTGGTCTGTCTTGGAGCAACTAGAGGCATTTAAGAAAGTGAAGGTACAGCGTGAACGACAGCATGAAGCACAATGGGTTGCAAAATGGAGCTGATGGAAAGGAGAGTAGTGCATGGCAGGTAGAAAGTATGGGGGAAGTCAGGAAGCTGAGGGACTTTGAAGATCAAATAGCCAAAGCTATAAAAACAAACAGCAAGCAAATTTATGTTGGTTTCTCACAGGGAGACCACAAGAGAATCTGTGGGTCTTTGGGATGATCAGGGCAGGAAGGGCGGTGGAAGAGGATAAGCATGTTGGGGAGAAGATAAACTGGCTGATGGTGAAATACAGTCCCTGAGATTTATCAATAAGTGGGGCAGTTCTCTGCAGCTTCTGAGCCCAGTATAATCAGTATTTTTATAAATGATCTGGAAGAAGATGTAGAACCACTGCTTTCAGAATTTGCAGGTGACACAGAGACTGTTTGCATGTTAAAAGCAAATGACAACAGGTTGCTGATGCTGAATGATCTGAATTGCTTGGTGCCCCAAGCACAATCAAATGTGCATTTGAATACAGCCAAATATCAGGCAGCTAGGAGCTAAGGATATAGTTCACAGTCACAGGATGGATAGCAGTGAACCAGAATAGGACTTGGATCATGGCAAATATCCAGCTGCCCATGATCTTCCAGTGCAGTGCTGTGGCTAAGAGTCATAATAGGTACAGATTGTATACACGGTATATATTCCCTGCTTGGATATATAAACAGGGGAAGACTGAGTAGGGGTAGAAGGAGTTTTTTAAACTTGTGAAGCATCTGATCAAATGAGCTCTTGTTCTTGCTTAGGAAAGAGCATCTCTGATTCAGTTAGCATATAAGGTGCATCCCTACCTTTCCTTCTGCCTGACTTCAGACAAACATGGCTAGCTACCTCTCTATTTGTGGAGGTAGCACTGGGGAGACTGACTGGAACACAGTTCTGGCACTTGCTCTTTTTAAAAGATGCTAAAAAAAATAGAGAGGGTTCAAGAAAAGCCACTTGAGCAATTTGGGAATGCAAAAGCGTGCCTTGCAGTGAGACTGGAGGTGCCCCATCTATTTAACTTATCAAACAGAAGGTGAAAAGGTTGTTTGAGTAGAATTGCTAAGCACCTGCACAAGGAGAAGGTATTTAATCTTTGGGTGCCCTTGAATTTAGCAGAGCAGTTTCTAACAAGATGCAATATCTGAAAGTTGATGTGAGAGAAATTGAAATTACAAATAAAAGACAACTGTATAACACTGAGAGTAATTAACTACTGGAACAAATTATCAAGGGAAGTGGTAAATTAGTCATCACTGGTTGATTTGAAATGGAAGTAGGATGCCTTCCTAAAAATACTGCTTTAGTTGATACCCAAGTTCTTGGGCCTGCTAGTGTGCTGCTTGCTGTGGGGCTCACTAGATAGCATTCTGTGCTCTGTGTGGTCAGACTAGAGGATCAAAACAGTCCTTTCTGGGCCTTAAAAGCTCTGCCATTTGAGTGGGTGGAAGTGAAAGTTCTATAGGGGCTGGAGCCTTCTAAGGGTGCCATGGGGAAGAGATG